TAGCAGAAGAGAGAGAGAAAGCGTTGGGGGAAAATGAAGATGAAGAAGATAGGGTATATTAGATAATGTCGTCACAAATACGTTACAGTTGGCAATTATTTGCGATGATATTATGTTGTCGCAAATAATTATTTTTCCCACGTTTAGTTTTTTGTGAATTATTTGCGACAACAAAGAATTTCACCATTGAGAAAGAGTAATTCCGCGGTCTAATTCATTATTGCAAAAATGCTTCTGTCATAGTACTAAATAATTATTTACACTATGGATTTTTTAGGTGATTAACCTTTTACCATTGGAATGTAGAGTTATACAAAGGGTGTTTAAGGATTGATGCACAAAGGCCCATGTTAGTTTATTTATTTATGCGTTATTACCTTCATTATACTAACACTTATTTGTAGTTGTTAGAATATATATGCACAAAAAAATAAGGTTAGAGCATAAGCTCAAAGGCCTAAACCTTGCATGCAAAGGTTACTATCATTATCATCATGTGGTGGAAAGAAGGAGAAAGCGGTAGAATGTTTGCCAAGTCAAGACAAGCAGAATCTATCAATAAAAAATAAAAAATAAAAAAAAAGGACAACTACACTCTATCCTTCAACCAAAACCTACTACGAGTGGGGTCACAAGCCAGCAATGATTGTCGTTTGAGATGCTATACTTTTTCTTCTCTCTGTGTACGAAATGGCTTTTAAACAGTCGTATCAGCAGGCAACTACTTGATTGCATGCTTAATTAGACTTAAGCTAATTACGTCATTAGGCTCCCTTAATCTAGTAATTATATCAACAAAAGCAATCTCTTAAAATTTACATATTTATACTACTTTTAGATAAAGTAATTTGGTCTTTTACGTCTTTTGAAAATTGGTATGCTTGGTTCGCGTACAACTAGACGCCATTTACGACTTTAGGGACACTTATTGGCCTTTGCTGTTACTTGTAAATACAGTAGCCAATGAGAGACCTGTTGTCATGTGGCTAATACATTCGCTCGTATATAATAAATATGTATATTTACTTCATTTAGAAAGAGTGATGCTACTTGTAACATGTAAAAATAGAAGGTGTAACATTATATTTATCTTGTAAAATTATAACAATAAATTATTTATCACTATGTTGTTATATCCTTTAAAGTTATTGTTTTGCAAATTAATAACACATTACACCTTTCATTTATACATGTTACAGTGTAAAATCAGTCTTTATGAAAACTTGAAGACAACTCATCTGCTTTTATATATCTTTCTCTTTTCCGTTAAAAACCGGAGACCTGCTCAAATTGCACTTTGAGAATATTAGTTGTCAATTCATTATCTTGAAACTCATTTAATTTTGTTATTCCTTAGTTTTCTTTTTCTTATTTTGAAAGGCTTGTACTTGGCTTAAATATCCCATGAGAACAACAAATTTCCTTGCTTCACACTTCTAATCTTGTAAGATTAGTACAAAACGGGAATGTGAAGTCCAGGTTTTGATTCCTGTATGAGATTCTTTTGTCCAGTTTAATGAGACAAAAGTGCCATGTACTAATCTGACCAATAAGTTAATCATTCAGTAGTTGAAAAGTTGAAAATCCCGTGAGTGTACTAATTTTCATGTTGATTTCCTGGTGGGACCTAATTTTCATCAATTTATATATTTTTGTTTCCGAACTTGTGATGGAGATGGAGGCATATGATTTGTTACTAGATTTTCGAGGGCATACTTAATTCTTAGTTAAAGTTAAGAAAAGGGCAGGCACAATATCATAATTGAGATTTATGAAGGTTAGTTCGAGTTTACTTAAAGGGAAGAACAATCAATTTAACATGCAATAATTATGATTAGGTGCAATTGCAAAGTTTTTTTATGCTGGTTATGACCCTTTAATTGACAATATGAAAAAATTGAGTTAAAAGAAAAATTAAAGATATTTGTTTAAGGGTAATGTTGAGTCTAAATCTTGACCATACCGCAGAAGAAGAGACAAGCAAGAATGTGGCCGTTTTATGGATCAAGATTCTATCTAAATTATAAGAAGAATGAATTAGTCCGTGGCAAAGCTTCATTTTAAATGAATTTTTCAGATAGCCATGGGCAGAACATGTCCTCAATTCTAGATATTAAAGATTAGATAATATAATAGTGATTGATCACTAGGGCTCAATATATAGTACCGTTGCTCATTCAGTGACTAATTTGCACATGCTCCTTATTTTTATTTTATTTTTATTTTTCTTAAAAAAATATAAGGATTGAGGGTGGAGTACCGAGACACACATTTATTCACATTTAATTGTTATGTGTTCATTTGCACAACTCAAATTATGATTTAAATCATATTGTTACAGTGTTTTCTCTCACATAAATTCAAATTCAACAATTCTGTTACAGTATTTTTTTCTCACATACACAACTCAAGTCATGACTTGAATTGCGCAAATGGACACACTTCCATGCATAATTCAGACAAGATTATTTATTATCACTCTCTCAATCTCTACATTGACAATTGCTGAATTGCAACATTTGTTGAAAAAAGGGCTTGTTCTTTTGAGTGAAAAACTCAAAAAAATATAACTCGAATTACAACTTTATTCGAGTTTATGTTTTTTTAAGTTTGAACTCGAGTTTGGGACTAAACCTCGTCGAGTTCAAGTTTTCCCTTCAACTCGAGTTCAGAAACTCGAACTCAAATTAATGAACAGTATTTTTTCTATTCTTAAAAATGCTATAACTTTTTCGTTTTAATTCTGATTGAGATGATTTTTTTTCTATGCGTTGACAACGAAAAGACGAATAAAACCTCACCCATATACCCTATTAAAATTTTCCATCAGCATTGAGTTTTTATTAAAATACTATCTAAATATAAATTCAAGTTTTGACTCACTCAAATACAAACTCAAAAAGATTCTTATCTCAAACCATAACTCAAATGTACACAACCAAATACAAACTCAAGTTATAACTTCAACTCAAATTATAACCTAAATTCAACTCAAGAATTATACTCATATTAAACTCTAAAAGAACAAGCCCTTAGGATTTGGGAAGAGTTTAATTTAATCATCTAAGAATAGACAATGAACTTTATTCTGTTGAGGAGTTGCATACTTGGGAAGGAAAATGACTAGCACAGACAGACACGTCTGGGCAAATACATAAAGAGTGACATCAAGACATTCCAGATGAATTTTTCCTTGCTGATTATTTTAATGAAAACGAAAAGTATACAAAAGGGAAAGAAATAATGAAAAGAAATGTCAACGATGCTAAAGAAATACTGTTTGTTTAGACAGATAAGAAATGAGATCTATGGCTTTAGTTTAACTTTCCACACCAAGGGGACGGAAAAAAAAAAGTACAATATGCACCTTGTTTGCTGTTTGAATTTGATGAATTTCGGAAACTAGTATTTTCAGCCAAAAAAATTTGGAAATTATTAGTGGACAATTTCTGGAGAGGTTAACACCTCAAGGCGACCAATCTAGAAGAACCACATGTGGAGCAACAATGTCAATGGAATTAATGAGCGCAATGCACGTGTCCAGGGGTGGAGCCTTCTTGGAGACCTTCCAAAGAAGGAACGTCCTAGGAAACCCTAAGCCAAAGAGAATATGACGTGCCATAATCATGAGAAATCAATAACATTTATCTGATTATGACACTCTATAAATAGAATGTTAAGCCTCTTATGAGGGACCTTTTTTTTTTTTTACTGCTCTTACTATTACCCTACCAAAATATTTCCACAATTGTTTGCCAGACTTGAACATCGGAGCGTCTTTTGTAAGCTGATGCTCGATTAAAAATGGAGCAACCAAGGCACGGTCGAATATGACGGAGTAGAGCAGCATTGATGTTCGGAGAGCTCCACCAATACCATGGAATTTTTTTTTGATATATTAATTACTTGGTATATTCACCATATAAATAGAAATGGAAAACATCTCATCCATTTAAGAAAAAGAAAGAAAAAAAACATTTAATCTGAGTTTCTCTAAAAGATCATTTATTCATGAATCATGCCGGAAAATACAATTATTAACATAGAACAAACATAATGTTGCTTTTCATATAAAAGGAAAGGCACGTCGTTGAAACGATAGAAAAAGCATGTGGCAGAGAATGTTGTTGGCTTTTTAGACAGAAAAAGAAGCCATGTTACTAGTGTCGTTTATTCTTTCACATCATAAACGACATGTCCCTTTCCTGATAGGAAACATCTTACCTCGCGTTTCCCCTTGAGGCCTAGACAAGGAAAAAATAAAACAAAATAAAATAAAAAGAACAACGGGAAACATTCATATTGTCATTGATTCCTTATAACATATCATTTTTCAAGACGATATTGGTCAGAAGACGAGATGGCCTCAGAACAAAAACAACGTAAATGTACCTGTTTTTTGCAACATAATAGTGTTTGTTTGAAGATATGATGACTTGTCGTTTTTGTTTAGATGTCATCTATTTTTTATTTGAGAGAGGTGCCCTGTTTTTTCCACTTTGAAAAATTCTTTTACTTCAATGTTGTTTCTTCCTCAGCAAAAACGACATCTTTTATTTTTAATGTTTTTTCGGGAAAAAAAGAACGACAATGTCAATCATTTTCCACAAGGAAACGACGTGTAGTTTTATTCTAACAAAATAAAGCACACATCTTGTTCTACATGTTGGAAAGCAATGTCAATCATCCTAATCTAGGAAACGACATATAGTTTTATTTAAACAATTAAAGGACACACCTTGCAGTTATACTAACAAAATAAAGGATACATGTCGCACATCTTTTCTTTTATGGACGGATTCAAGCACGTGAGCATCATGTTGTTTAAACGAAGGAAATTTTGGACAAATCTCATTAGTCATTATTCCACAGTTCCCGTTAATTTTTGTTTTCCTTGAACTTGGGGTGGGGATTCGAACTCTTCATTTTTTTTTTTTTTTTTTTTAGAACGGAACGAACTCTTCACCTTATGAGGGAGTTAAGTGTGAAATTACCGCTAAGTTATGCCTCAGCTACAACAAATTTTACTTTCTATACCTATGTATAAATAAAGTTGTGCAAAATCTACTTATCACCAATAGTCGTTACATGAGCATAACCCGCCTTTGAAGTGATGAAACCTCACTCGATCCCTTACAACTATTTCTCGATTGAATGCTTTGGAAACAAATTTAGTAAACGAATGGCAATCTCCACAAACTCTCAGGTTCTTCACTATTCTCAAACATGTTCCCTCCGGGGTTCTTGCAATCCCAAAAGCAATAGCAAGCTTCTCACTGTGATATGACGAAGTACTAGTTCCCCAAAACCCTTCCTCCACATAACCAAGCTGAGACAAAACATGGATCACTTCCCTCAGTTTATTGTATATTTCATTGGTATGAGGGTGTGACTTGTCATCTACAACAAACTTATGAACTTGATCAGCGACTTCAATCCAGCTCCAACCGGGGGTCGTCCTTATTCCCCAGCTTTTGATCATTTTCCTCATCCTCGCAACCCCGTCGACATTGTTTACTCCCTGATAGATACTAGCAAGGAGTATGCAGTCCCCTGCATTTGATGCCCCGACCTGGACCAGACTCCTCATGGCAATCTCTCCCATCTCGACGTTCTTGTGAATCTTGCAAGAACTGAGCAGAGTGCGCCAAAGAACTGGATCATGCTGGGAAGGGCAATTTTTTATGACTTCGAGCGCCTTCTCAAGTTTCCCTGCTCGGCCAAACAGATCCACCAGGCAGCCATAGTGCTTAATCCCGGGCTTGATGTTGTATTTCGAGGTCATTCGATGGAAGTACTCGACGCCCTCCTCAACTAGCCCTTGGTGATTACATCCACATAACAAACCTAGGAATGTAATAGAGTTTGGATGGAATCCTGCCATTAGCATTTTCTCAAAGAACTCAATTGCTTCTTTTCCTAGACCATGACCTCCATACCCGACAACCATCGAGTTCCAAGTTAAAACATCGCGCTTAATCATGGAATCGAAGACAGAACGAGCAGCATCCAGGTTTCCACATTTGGCATACATATTTATAAGAGCATTCCCAACAAAAACATTCCTCAAAAACTCCCTTTTACAAGCCATTCTATGCATTTCAACTCCGATATTCTGCGCGCCCACATGAGCACACGAGGAAAGCAAGCCAACAAGAGTGAATCCATCAACACCCACATTCTCATTTCTCATAAGATCATACGTCCTCAAAGCCTCATGGTGAAAACCCGCTTGTGAATAACACAGAATCATGGAGTTCCACGAAACCAAGTCCTTCACAGGCATTTCATCGAACACCTTCCGCGCAGTCTCAACCAAACCATTCCCACAATACGACTTGACAAGATTCGTGCAAACGACAACATCCGCCTCGTACCCACGTCGTATTATCGAGCCATGAACCTCTCTGCACTTCCTCTCGGCCTTGGTTCTCTCGCTGGCCCTGAGAAGGAACGAGAAAGTATAGGAATCAGGACGACAGTCGAAATTTTTATCAGCCGCCAAAACCATGTCGTTGTAGTAGAAGATGGCTTTGAGAGGATTCGGGCTTTGGGAGAAGCCACGAATGATGGAGTTCCAGTCGTCGGTTTGCGGGTTGAGAATGTGGTGGCGGAAGAGAAGGACGGCGTAGGGCAAGGAGCCGGAGACGGAGACGGCGCAGAAGTGGAGGAGCTTGGTGGAGATGGCGGGGTGGTGTTGAAGGCCGTTGGTGATGACGAATGCGTGGATCTTTCGAAGCTTCTTGAGGCTGTTGCATCCTTGGAGAAGTTTCAATATGGTTTTGGCTTTTGAAGACTCCGGTGATTGCAGGGAATTATCGATCATCGATGCCGCCAAAAAATGATCAGGTTCGAGTTTGGTCGCTGTTCTAGCAGAGATGTAATATTATTTAGGTTGTTGAACGCGGGAATATACAGTATTTATATTTTTGTGAAAAAAAAAAAAGAACAGAAAAAAAAAAAAAGAGAAATCAATAAAAAAATTTGTATGTCATGCATTTTGAGGTGATGATGTTAGCACTATCTATGAGAACTTTCATGATGTTATGAGAAGAATGCTTGGCATTGGTTTTTAGAATATGACAAGTTGCGCATTTTATGTTGGAATTTACAAATTTTGATGTTGGAGTTCTATATGTTACAATATTTACAAATTTTAAACCAAACGTGATAATTTGCACATTTATATATACTTTTGAATTTTCAACGTGATAGTAGTAAAAATTATGACAGATTTGTATAACAATAAGGTTAGCATGAAGACACCCCAAAAAGAACGTATCTATGTAGCAAACGTTACCATTAGTATGATGTTGATCATGCAATTTCATTGCCGCCGACACAATATTTTTCCATTTAAAAGTTTATTATGCAATAATCAGATGATAATTAAAATTTTGAAGCGGTTAAACTGATAGATAATGTGGCAAAGAAAAATAACAGCTTAAATTAATTATTGTTAAATTTGCCACTAATAGAGTATTTTGTGGCCCTCCAAATCATGCATGAATTTTCCACTCCATTTAACTTGATACAACACATGATAAAGATCGAAGCTTCCCTACCGCCTACCCAGTATATTGGTTTCCTTTTTACACTTGCCTCTGCTTTTCTATTGAACTCAAAAGACACGGGTGGTATGGTTACTTCAGAAACATGGCCATTTGAATTCGAAATACGCGTTTTCTTTGGGCTGCACACTTTATGCAGAGTTGCAGACGAAAACTAAGACATAATTTACAACTTTCGTTTATAGAGAGATCGAATAGAACTTTTTGCCCTTGAAGACAAGGAAAATACCAAGCATGCTTGTCATTAACAAACCAAGGAAGGAGTGACAAGCAGCCAGAGGTTATACATAAAATCTAACTTATGTCTAAAACAAAAGTCGAATACAAAGTCCCATGAATCAGCCTCAACTCTACCGCAAAGTCACGCCGGTGAAAGCACATAAGCTATTGCGGTGTGTTCTCTACTTCTCTTCCAGCAAGAAACTGCCACAAAAGAACATTACCTCCTAAGATCCACAACAAAGGGCACTGATGAAGAATATTATCAGCCTAGAAAACAAGGAAAATATCAAACACATTTCCAATTAACAAAGCAATAAACGCATGAAAAGCAGCACGCGTTTTACATACATTCTAACCTGATCAGAATACAGTTGGCTCCACCAGTCTGTAATAACGTTTGCTTCCAAATAAACTATTTCTTCTTTCTACCCCCACCGGCTTTTGACTTTTTGTTACTAGCAGCGCCTTTAGCAGTGTTCTCCGATGTTTCCTGCCATAAATGGGCAAAACAATTGAAATCTGCAAAATGAAAATAAGCACCAAAGCTAGCACTCTAACCACTCCAAAGCCTAAAGGAATTATATATTGGCCCGTTTGGTTTATAAGTTTGAACAGAAAAGTTTGAATAGAAATTTAAATTTTGTGATAGAAAACACTATAGCAAAAAGGTTTAAACAGTAATTCAAACCTATAAAACAAACAGGGGCTATATTAGTCCATATAATACTTCGCAGAAACCACAGAAACATCTGCCAGAACAAAATCTATGAAAACGAGAATATTGACAGCAACCATAGCCCAAAAGGAAACATATATATTAGTCCATATAATACTTTGCAGAAACCACAGAAACATCTGCCAGAACAAAATATATAAAGACGAAAATATTGACAGCAACAACACAAGCTACATATATTAGTCCACCGAAAACCACATATAACATAATCATTTATTGCAAACAAAGAAACACACGGAGATGCAAATGATATAACAGAGATTCGTACGATACTCGTTGCTCCCTTCTATAGGACTCAACAGGAAAGGACCCACCCCCAAAAAAAAAGGCCTAGAAAAGAGGATGACATTATTTTTTAGTTCAAACAAGGGTAAAATTGCAGCAAAGAGGTATAATTGTATTAAAAAGAAATTTAAAAAAAAAAAAAAAAAAAAAAAAAAACAGATATTTCTACTAATTACATGTTTTTTACTTGAGCTCAAAAGGGTAGAGGTTAGGTAAATTTTTTTTTCCTCGTCAAAATATTATATCTTGGAAGATAAAGGGGGGAAAAGGTCAAATTCAGAAATAAAATCTGTTATAACATGACCACTCTGATGTGAGATATATTAACTGAAGGGGAAAAATTAACACAGGGTGGCTCTGAAGGTCACCAGATTTTCAACTTCAAACGCCAAAGCAGACACCTCTGGACAGTGGCATGGGGTGCTTGGAACCCAGGTCTAATATTGGCAGGCTCATATTGCCAATGAGCTTGGCCCTGGATGGATTAGAAAATTCCAGAGAGAACATCTTATGCTTTAGTGCTGGTTTGGGTGATCTAAGCACACACTTGCTTCCCTGCCATCCAATGCAGTAAGATATCATGGTAACCTGTCAGGTCTAGACTTCCCGAAGATTCGGGGAAAAAGGAATTGTTCCATAAATGGTTCCCACACAGAAGCTTAGATTCAATAAGCAGCAGTGAAGACCTTTAAATGTTTTTTTTTTTTTTTTTTTCATTCCAAAAAGGGGGTAAAAACAAATATATTTTAGAGAGTTCAAGGCACAAGGTCATTTAAGCATTTTCTAACAATTTCATAAAACGTTCAAGTAAAGAAAGAAAAGAAAGTGGCAGGCAAGAGAATAGTCTAAGAACCATTGCAGACCTACATAAACGATTATGCAACTTTGGCATGAGTGCATTTCTATGGGGCATGAATCATCCAACGATATTCCGTATTCTCGAGACCGGAACCAAATTTAATAATGTGTTAGGCCACCTATCACGTTGGTCTACTCCAGGAAAAAGGGCCGAAAGGGGAATACGCTGGGACTGGGGAAGGAAAGTGGGAATATGGAAAAGGGGTGTTGAGCTGGCAAGTTGGTTACGAGCTGGAGGTGGCAAGTTGGTTACGAGTAGGAGAGCTAGGGAGTATTTAGGCGGTGGAGTGGCCTGGGAATTGGTGTCTGTTGATTGGGAATTCTGTTAGCAGACCTTGGGAGGAAGGAGAACCTCGAATTCTCCACTGTTCTTGCTTTTCTTTTAGCTTTTCTTATGTTCTTATTTTCATGGCTGTAATCCCTCTCTTCGAAGAGACAGAAGTTTGATTAATAAAAGGAACTTGACCCATTTTCAAGTAAATTTCTTTGAGTCTGTGTTCTTGTTATTAGTTTGTGTAGGGGGTTCCTAACAATTTGGTATCAGAGCAAAGGATCCATGGCGGACGCTTCCAGCGAACGAGCTCAGGCGGAAGAGGTTTCACGGCTGGAACAAAGACTGGACACGTTCCTCGAGGCGCTTCATATTGTAGAGGGGTTGACAGAACCTCTTCCCAAGCTCCAAGACGACGTGACCAAGTTCAGAGCACAGCTGGGAGAAGTGCAAGGATCGGTGCAGCGGCTAGAGAATCTTCTTCTCCGTCAGGCAGAACTACTTCAGCGGAACCCACCACCACCACCACCGCGATTCGAGGCAGGCCCGGCACGATATCAAGGCGCACGACGACCGGCTTCCCACCTTCAACCAGCGTCTCCACCCCCACCGCTGCGAGACGACGAACCCAGGCGGTATGGGCGCGATCTACGTCCGGAGTTGCCGGGTGGAGCATCGGGGAAGAAGGTTAGAGATGCCTCTATTTAATGGTGCAGACCCACAGGGGTGGGTGTTTCGGGCTGACCGGTACTTCGCCGTCAATGAGGTGGAGGAGGACGAGAGGGTGGTGGTCGCATCGGTTTGCATGGAGGGGCGGGCTCTGGGCTGGTTCCAGTGGGCGGATGCTCAAGATCCATTCAGGTCTTGGAGGGACCTTAGGGCGGCTGTATTGCGACGATTTGGGCAGATGGGGGAGGAGGACCCAGTGGAGCAGCTCATGGCTCTCCGGCAGAAGGGCACGGTGGCGGACTTCCGGGATGAATTTGAAGCAACTGCCGCCCAAATGAGGGGGGTTCCTGACGTGATTTTCAAGGGAGCTTTCCTTCATGGGCTCCGGGAAGATTTTAGGGCCGAGTTGAAAATGCATCGGCCCAACAGTCTACACGATATGATGGACCTGGCCCAACAGGTGGAGGCCCGCAATGAAGCTGCGGATCGGGTCAGGAGATACCGGATGGGCCGTGGGCCTAGGGCTGACGCGTGGGGTAGGCAAGGGGGGCCTTATGAGGGCCAAAATTTTTCTCCACCCACACTAGAGAGCACCCTTTGATCCAAACCAGAGGCCACGACAGGAGGTCATGGGTCACGGCTGGGAACAGGGTTAGGAACAAACCCATCTTCGGGGGAGTCGTCGGCATTTCAACGGGTAACGGAGGGAGAGGTGCAGTAACCGGCAG